ATTTTGTACGGATTTTGTTGAGGTTTGGTGGGTTGGTTGCTATAAAGAGGTGTTCGAATGGGTTTACTCGCGGTTCATTGGTTGCATTTGTTATTTCGAAGTGGCCACAACTCGATGGCTGGGATATAAGCATGACATATAGGCTGGAAGGCATTGGTGAATGTATCTTGGCTGACGATGAGGACATGATGTCGATATTTGAAATGTTATCAGATCTCTCGTTGGATTGTATTGATGTTAACATTGATGGAAAACCAGTAGGGTTGCCTGGACCGAATGTATTATCTGCAGAGGTTGGTGGTTTCCCATTGGTGTTGTATGATGAAGGTGTGGTTGTTAATGAACGCAATGTAGAGGGAGTGGGGGATAAGGTGAAAGGAAGAAGATTGATGAGTGCAGATTGGGCATATTTGATCAAGGATGTAGGTCAGGTTTTTGAAGGCGGTGTTCGTGAGTTCAGGAAATCGCTTATCAAATACTCTATTGAGATGGGATTCGAATTCTCGTATGTTAAGAATGAGACATCGAGAGTTACATCGGAGTGTCATTTCAAAAATTCTAGCCAATGTTCGTGGAGGATACACGCATCGGTGGATAAATCAAATGATCACTGCTATATTCGGTCGTTCAACAAACATCATCAATGTGGAATGTTTTTTGGAACAACTAGTAAGAGAAGATTGAATTCAGTTGTCATCCTTGACCTGATTGAAAATGATATTCGTGCAATGCCGGCTATAACACCAGGAGAAATTCAGAGCCAAGTGAAGGATAAATTTGGTGTTGACATAAGCTATTGGGTTGCGTGGAGGGCTACAGATGCGGGAAGAAGAAGGATCTTTGGGTACGAGACTTCTTCATATTCGTACCTTCCATCTTATTTTGATGAAGCGGGGAAGACAAATCCTGGTAGTATATTTCATCTTGATGTTGAGGCGGAGAAGCAGATTTTCCGACAGTGTTTTTTTGCATTTACATCATGTTTAGATGGATTCAAGTTTTGTCGTCCTGTTGTCATACTGGATGGCACGTTTTTGAAAGGTAGATACAAGGGAGTGTTGCTTAGTGCTGTGGGTAAAGATGCTGATGAAGGTAATGATATTACTGCATTTGTGTTTAATAGTATATTAACAGTTATGCCATAGTTAATTAAATGTCATTTGATAGTACAATTGAGTTACTAGTAATTTGAACGGTTCAGATTACTAAAACAGTAAAAAAATGTTGTAGTGATTTTGGTTAAATTCGTATGTGCAGGTCTGTTCCCTATTGCATTTGCAATTGTAAGTGAGGAGACTGATTCGAATTGGGCTTGGTTCTTGAGTCATTTTAGGGATGCTATTGGAAATGATAGGACGCTCAATTTTGTTTCGGATCGAAACCACGGTACCATCGAGGGTGTTAGGAACATTTTTCCTGACTGTTTGCACACATATTGTTACAAACATTTGCAGAACAATTTGAAATACAGGTTCAGGGGTGTTTCAGCTGGCTTTCGTGAGACGGTGGTGCAACAATTTGCGGCGTGTGCTTACGCGACAACTAAGGAAGAATTTGATCGATGTATTGACAAGCTGAAGATTACGGGTGGGACGAAAGTTTGCAATTTCTTAGATGATCTTCCAAAAGAGAAGTGGTCCAACGTTTACTGCGAGGGTCATAGGTACGGACAAATGACTTCTAATGGATGTGAGTCGTGGAATCATCAAATAAAGAAGCAACGTCACTTGCCGATAACTAGTCTGATTGATGGCATAAGGTTGTTGTTAATGACGCAAATCTGTAACCGGCTATGTGATGGCAATAGATGGACTACTGTGCTGTGTGAAAAGACTGAGAAGAGATTGAAGGAGGCTATTGACAATGGGCGTTCATGGATATGCAAAAGATCGTCTATGCATGTGTTCGAAGTTTTTTCGTCGCCAAACGCTGTTGTTGATCTTGGAGAAAGGACATGCTCTTGTAGGCTGTGGTAAATCAACGTGTTTCCATGCGCACATGTTGCTGCTGTTATTTTTGTTGAGGTTCGTTGTGGGCTTGCTGCGTATGATTATATCGATAGATGGTAGCACAGATCAACATTTAAGGATAGTTATTCGGGCTCAATTATACCATTTGTGAGACAAGTGTCAGATCTTCATGTTGCTGTAATTGGACCTCCTAAAGTTAAACCAACACGTGGTCGCCCAAAGAGGAAAAGGATTCCATCTCAGGGTGAGTGTGTCCCCCGGAAAATGACTTGTAGTCGTTGCAAAGCTCAAGGAAATCATAACAAGAAGACTTGTAGGAAGTGACTGTTTTAATTTATGTTTTTCCAGTACTTTTTGAAGTTTGATGTCTTATGCTTAAATGATTTTATTTTCTTTTTTCGTACAATATTCTGGTTTTATCGATTTTTGCGAACAGAATGTTTAATATTGAGTTTTTAAGGGTTGTTGCTTTATATTATCAAGCTTAGTATTTTATTAGAATGCTTATAGTTATTTACAATGATACCAATAGTCGAATAAAATCTATGCAATAGTATATTTTTGATTTAATTTGTGTTGAAGACTTTCATATGGTGTGGTCAGTTTTTGACAAGATTTTCGTTGTTCATCAATTTAACATTCAATGATAGGGGCTATTAACATGTGGTTCTATAATTTCACAAAAATTGCTGAAATACGATGCACAGTATAATTAGTTATACACCGTAGTATAATAGTATCTAATTGTAGAATGACAGATCGATAGCAATCTAGTGTATATTACATAGTCGATTAGGTGTACGGTTTTTTTTTTTGATATAACTGAACAGGCGTACGTTTTGATGAGTCGTCTGTATTCAAACCACATAAGTTGAAAAGGCATGTATATGTAGCGATGCGTTTGTAACTCGGGGAGACGCATCATATTGATCATAGGGTTTCATGATTATTTTTTTCGCCTATATAAGCATATCAATGGAACGATACTTTTATAACTATATCATACCTTTATTAACAAAATAAGTTTTAGACAATATGGACCGAAAGTTGTGGATACAAACTGAGAGGGTTTTCGCGGAAGCTGACTGGAGGCGTGATTTCGGAGATATTGCAATTCCAAGGTACGAGGAGGCATGGGCAATTATTGACGGGGCTGATGGTGGTGTGGCGAACAGTGACAATTGTCGTAGGTCGAGGCACACGATGATTTTTTATGATCTAATAGGCTGCAACATGTGTTGGTTTTGTTTGTATGTCGAGAATAACGGGTCGGCCCAAGTTTGTAATAGTAACGAAGGTGATGTTGACCGTGACGCTGGAAGAGGTGTCGGCGGTGAACGAGGTCGAGTTGTTGATGCCAGTGGAAGTGGGGCAGTGAATTCAGGCGTTGCGCAGTTTTCCGATGAAGAAGTGGATTGCATACCAGATGATAGCGACGAGGACATAAACTCAGTGAATTCAATTGATTCCGACGGGTGTTATTTTCCAAACCCCCCAAAGAATTGATATGCTTGATTATCGCGTGATTACTTAGTAATGGCAATGTAATATTATTTCATTGTTAAACGTTGTAATAAATTTAGTTCACTATTATGAACAATATGTGATACTACCATTATCATTTTAATATACTATGATGTGATTAGTAATTTACTAGAGTGTATCGAGTTAGTATCAGTAAATTGTTATGATGAATTTGAACTATTTATTTGATCATGTTGGAATTATTGTACGTTAGTTTTGTTGTAAACGTTATTATTATGTTATCTTCACATATGGGTTTGTAGTATTATATTGATATATTGTCTGTAAGGCCTATGCATACTACTTCAAGTACAGTAATATGCTATCACGACATATTCAATATACTATAATGAAGTAACTAATATACTATTATAGCAGTTGGTGTTCAATAATACGTTCGATTTGTTATATGATTTTTTTTCTGTGAACTAATGTCATATGATAATCTTTGTGAGAATTATTTCACGAGTTGAAGTAATATGTTGTTCATCAGATGGTTGTTTTTGGAGTGTTTTAAGTGTTGCACACAATGTGATATAGAAGGTACAATTCACTACTACATATATATTTGAGTACTATTGTTATGAACATAATATACTATTGGCATGCATGTAATATACTATGTGCTCATAACTTCATAAATTACAAAAATAAGTAGTGTGAATAAGTTAATACTGAAAACATCATATTACACATAATATTCAAAAATAAGTTTTGATTGGCCTACGCATACAGAAAATTAGTTGTTAATACTGAAAACATAAGAAGGTTGACTGGCTTATGCATCATATTCCTTGTTACCCCATTCCAAGAAAGTCTCCACGATTTCTCTGCGCATTTTAGCCAAGTCATCACTTGCGCTGCTGGGGTCTATGGGTTGTTGGTGAAATATTTGCTTTATGCAGTAGAGTACATGGACACCACAGTCGCGGCCATTGGTTTGTTGTGGGCAATCATTAACGACTTCAATGTCAAAATCGAAATTGATGTCGATGTTGTATCTACTTGCAGTAGCTTGCATCGCTGTTTTCTGTTGTCATGGTAGCAAGGCAAATGTTATTATTTGCGTATGATTTTTATTTTGAAGCTGGTGTGTTGGTCAAGATTTTTACCATATCATGTGCATCGACCAAGTACTTGTCTGTTATATTCTCCCTTGGCAACAGCGAGTTGTAGAACTTCCAGCTCTCTTCTAACCGATCGAAAACAACGAGGGTGAAATGATCCGCCACCTTGTTGGGATTCCTATCAGAATGGAGCGGGAACACGAGATAGCGATATGCATTTATGTTTGCAGGTGGATGGAAGGACCTGTCGGTGCTTTTTGGGTTCCTCGTTGCACTCTGTGCAGAATCAATGTGATTACCTTAGTTGCAGGAGGTCATCAGTGCGAGATTGTAATACCTACTATTATTCACTTACCAGCAGCATGCATGGAAAAACATAGTTCGTTCCCTCCAACTCAGAATACTGCATCTTGTTGAATTCTTTCATTGACTGTCTTATCATTAAGATATTGCAATATGCGTCAATTGTCTGTAGAAGTATTGCCATTAATGTATAACTATGTTTTGCATAAGTGCAATATCAGAAAAAACAGGAGTAATGATTATCTGTAGACTTACAAGTGAGGATAATTCTCTGTGCGTAATGCTCTGCACCAAATCCTTGACGACACACACAAATTTTCTGCCATCTGGGCTTGTCCAAACTTTGGTGCTGCGGGCAAATTAGTGTAAATAAAATGTTTAGTGGGGGGCAAAATAATTATATTTGTATTAAACAAAATATGGCGAAAGGATCTTTGTTGAAACTTACTATTCCTTGTTCGCAGCAGCCTCCACTGTGATGTCCAGCAGAGACCTGTTACTCTCTGACATGTTGCGATAGTTTTTGAATTTCTTGTACTTCCTTACAACCTTGGATACAATTGTCGGTGTTACAGCAGGACGCTTAGACCGTGTTCTATCAGATATGGGTAGTATTTTTTCGACGCTTTCGGCATGTTCCGTGTTGGCATGCGGTAAGATCAATTTGTCAGCAGATATGTCCACTGAGCCCTCATGACCTTCATTGTATGTGCCTTCGCTATTGGAGTCCATGAGCCCCCCATCAATCTCGAAGGATACATTCATTTGTTCAGCTGAAATTTGAGGACAATTGCTAGTCTTTTTGGTACTAGATATTGTGTGCTTCAGCTGTTTAATTAATTCGCTTTGGTGGAGTATCGTCTGACTCTTCTCCTTATTGATGTCTTTCAGCAAGGTTACATCAGTAATGAGATCAACGAGCTGTATCTCGGTCTCGTCAATGTACGTTAGAGGTAAAGGATCATCGCGCTCTGCTGCTGTTTCATTAGGGTGAGGCTGCGTTTGTGACAGCAATCGGAAAGATGGCATATTGTCTTCCGTGGGAGTTTTTGAAGTTGATCCTGTCATCATGGAAGTGGTTGCCTTGCCAGCTGATTCGTGCAATTTGGTATCAGGTTTGTCACCGGAGTTCTGGAGTCCTGTTTTGGACTTCTTGCGGCTGTTGTTGTCAGCGGTGATGGCCTATACATGTAGCTTCAACAGTGCTGTTGTTGCTTCTAAGTCCTCGTACGACTGTTTCATAACTGTCAGTTGTTCTTCGAGTGCGGCGCAACGTAATGTTTCAGCAGCTAACTTTGCTTCTGTTGTTTGGTCTATGGGTTGGGCCGATCCCCCATGACTCGCTTCTGCGGCTGGTGCGTATTTGGCCAAGAGGTATTCCAGATGTTTGTTCTTCTCTCTCAGTATATGGGATTCGGTCTCGTACTGAAGTGCAAGCGTGGAAAGACGACGATTTTCTGACGACTTCTCACGTAATTTAGTCATGAATTTTTCTGGGACATTGATATTCTAATCATTATCTCCTGTTTCAGAACTGGTGCATGTGTCATCTTTTTTGCCTTTCTTGTGCTCCTTATTTTTAATTTTTCTTTTCCTTTTACTGCCTCTTTCTGCAGCAGATGAGTCCTTATTGAAGAACGCAGTTTCTTCTTTTGTCTGAGTGAATGCTGACTCGTTCACTTCATCGTTGTGGATGTCTCTGATGGCTTCCAGTGCTATCCCCAGTGTTTTCAAATTCCATTTCTGGAACCTTGGGAAAGCATCAGCAACGATTGGTTCAATGATATTTATCCTCTCGCACATCCAAAACTGTGGAAACAATCTAGTGTTAGAAATGGACTGCAAGATAGATATTAATATACTATTAAGATATTATACATATCATATGAAGACAATATAAATATACTATTTAAACAAAATAAATATACTATTAGTTTACAGTACTATACGATATGGATAGAATGTACACTATGTTTCAAATGAATATACGAGCTTGCATATTTACAAATGCATGTTAATTATGTGCACTAACAAAATATTATTATGCAGAGTTGATCACGAGTTAATGTATATATAACTATGCGGACATACCAACAATAGTGTTGTGCACCCACGGACTAACGATGGTTCTGTATCCTGCACATATTTTATTCGGAATTCGACGATGTACCCTGCCCAATTGTAATCACAGAGCTTGTAGAGTTCATCACACAACACTACCATCCACCAGCTGACTTGGTCTCCGGAAGTTGCAAAAAAGCAGGATGTAAGTACATGGAGTATGATTATACGAACCACATCTTCGACATCCTCGTCATCCCTATTGTCTATGTATTCCAGCATCTTAGGCTTCAACATCCCCAACCGTATTTTTTCTACGTCTCTAAATTTACGACTGGTTAGACCGAATTCTGGTTTGGTGGTTCTGTGAATACTTATGTTTTTTTCACCTGATTTGATGCCGAATATCAGATTGCAATCCTCCTCTGTGACATGCAATTCTCTTCCTCCAATCTTGAACACTCTGTCTTCTTTGTTGTATGTTTTCAATATGAGGACTGTGCCTATTTGTGTCCTTGTGACTTGCGAGATGGATATTTCATGCTTGGCAAACGGTAAGATTAGCTGGTAGAATGGCGTTTTTTTGAGGCATTTGTAGTGCGTTTTTCGCAGACTGACATTTGCAAAGAAGTCTACTGTTGAGTGTAGGCTGGATCGGAATTGTCGGGTCCAGCTGCCTTGGTCTAGATCTTTTTGTTCCATTATGTTTGATTCGGCTGTAAATCATGTAAAATTTTTAATTATGAGAAACAGAAAATACGCAACAAATATTGATAACAATTAAACATATCATAGGCATACATTTTCACAGCATACACATAACTACAGAAGCATGCATAACTAAAATTGCAGTGTAGTTAAGATACCAATAATTCATATTAAAATAATGGTATATTACTACTCGTTCTACACTTAATATATAGATTCATAACAACACAACGTTTTATTAACATAGTATCTCAATTCATAACAACTCGGTCTGAATTTCTTCAAAATTCTATCTCATTGTAACAACGAATTAACACAACAAGCTGTCAGACTACTATAATATACTATCAGATTTATCAACCAAACATCACATACACAATAGTATATTGACAAAATGTACAACATCAAAATACCCATGAGATTAATTATACTACGGACAAACATCACGCTATCTAAAACACAGATCTGACTATTAATGTCTTAATATACTATCGGACTTCATTAACCAACTATCACATACATTCGATTTAGTCACAATGTATAACATGAATAAATCTATGAGATTAATTATACTACGGACAAACATCATGCTATCTAAAACACAGATCCGACTATTAATGTCTTAATATACTATCGGACTTCATTAACCAACTATCACATACATTCGATTTAATCACAATGTTTAACATGAATAAACCCATGAGATTAATTATACTACGGACAAACAACACGCTATCTCAAACACAGATCCGACTATTAATGTCTTAATATACTATCGAACTTCATTAACCAACTATCACATACATTCGATTTAATCACAATGTATAATATGAATAAACCCATGAGATTTAATTATACTACGGTCAAACATCACGATAACTAAAACACAGAATCGATTATTGACGGTTTACTCGACTATACAATTTTCTGATATGTATCATTAGGGGAAATCAATTTCTCACCAGCGTTTAGTAGCATAATGTCGTCTGCCATTTTCGATGCTTCGATGACTGCAACATTTTACTGAGTGTGTTATATAAGCAAATATATACATATTATCCCAAAAAAACTCTCAAAAAGACTATCACGTTGCAGGTAAACATAAATATAGTAATGGGTTATAACATAAATATTGTTGCAATATCAATGATTTAGTGTTCGAATTTGGTATGCGATTATAACAGATCTGCAATTATACAAACGTGATAGTCGATTTAGCCAAAACATATAAACAAATCGATGGACGATAGCGATGCAGCGACCGGCGAAGACGAACTTACGGCGTCTTGCTCGGAGTGCAGAAAATATCGGCGATTCAGGGCCGTGCAGATTTCTGGTTCTGGGAGGTTTTGCAGTTTTTTTGATAGTGGTTTTGTGGTGATAGTGTTCTAACGGGAAAATAGGGAGGGATTTGATATTATTTCAAAAGGTAAAGTAACGGGATTTGTGGGATTTGATTGAGGGTAATTATGTAATTTAGAAAAGTTTGGGCTATTATCAAAATGGCAAATTTAAGTTTGGGTCTACCACTATTATTTGAATGTTTAAGGGGGTTATATCTAATAGACCCTATTACTTAATTAATCGAACTTAATACTGGCAACCGAACAAGGCCTTTGAATATCTACATTTTGATCGTAAAATTAAATGATTATTATTATTATTATTATTATTATTATTATTATTATTATTATTATTATTATTATTATTATTATTATTATTATTATTATTATTATTATTATTATTATTATTGTTATTATTATTATTGTTATTATTATTATTATTATTATTATTATTATTATTATTATTATTATTATTATTATTATTACTATTATTATTAGTATTATTATTATTACTATTATTACTATTACTATTACTATTATTATTATTATTATTATTATTATTATTATTATTATTATTATTATTATTATTATTATTATTATTATTATGAGTAAATTCAAGTCCATTACAAGGGGAAATAGGGGTGGGGGGGACTCGAACCCTAGACCGTTACCCTAGTGGTAAAGGCTAGGTACCAACTCTCCTAATGAGGGTTGGTATTATTATTATTATTACTATTAGTATTATTATTATTATTAGTATTATTATTATTATTATTAGTATTATTATTATTAGTATTATTATTACTATTACTATTATTATTACTATTATTATTACTATTACTATTATTATTATTATTGTTATTATTATTATTATTATTATTATTATTATTATTATTATTATTATTATTATTATTATTATTATTATTATTATTATTATTATTATTATTATTATTATTATTATTATTATTATTATTATTATTATTATTGGGGTTATTTTACATAACCCCCTAGCCACCAAATTAACTAGGGATAAACTCAAGCACAAATCATCCTTTGACATACCCCCACGGAGAAGCGAAAGTACTATACTACCCTTATATGTAATTTTTGCGCCAAACTGCATCA